GGGGGTCGGGAGCCGGTGGAGGACCCGCGCGCGGAGGAGCCCGGGGAGTCAGCGCTTCTTCCCTCCCTCCCCCACTCCCCTCCCCGCTCCCTCCCCCCTTCCCCAAGAATGTTCCGCTACGAGGTAAGCCGTTGCGACCGGAAGTGACCCCTCCCTCCCTTAGGCGCCCCTCTTCCTCTCTCACCCTGTGCGCGCCCGTCTGGTGCTCCTGGGGGGGAGGAGGCGGGCCGCCGTAGCCGTGGGACCCAAGGGGCGCGACCGGCCTGAGGTCGGGGGTTTAATCCGAGGGCTGGGAGCTGGCTTCTGGGAGGCGGGACTGCCCCATCAACTGCCTCTGGGGGGAGTTGGCTTCTGTTTTGGGGTGGGGAGGACCCGTTAAGTGTGCCGCGACCAGGCCACCCCCCGCCACCACTGCCGGAGGAGCCGGGAAGGGGATAGCATTGATTGCTCCTACTTAGCGTTTCTTATTCAGGAAGAGGCACCCGGGAATACCCAGAGAGGAGTTTCCCGCCCTAGACCCGGAACCCCCCCTCCATGACATACACTTAATCCGATACGTATCGGCCGGCATACAGGATACGTATCGGCGGTCATCGGGTGATGGGGGCCCGAGCTTGCCCTTTGACTGAGGCCGCAGACTATTTGCTAAAGAGGGCTGCGAGTTGAGAGGGGGGCGTGTCCAGCAGAAGTTCTTTAGGGCAGCAGTAGGGAGACGTGAGTTTGGTGACGCTCCCGGGAATGTAGAAATAGCCGAGAGACGTCCTGCTCCTGTCACTAACTCACTGTGACCTTGAGCAACTCCTGATCTCTGCACCTAAAGTTTCTGTATTTGTAGTTTTAAAGGCTTGATCTGAGATGGTCCTTATAAGTCTTTTCAAATTTAAAACAGCAGTGATTTGGCTAACTAGCTTTTTGTGGTTTGGATGGGAGTACTGCTTTAAGTTGCCCCTGATGTGGAATCGATCGCATGCCTGCTTGTTAGACGTTTGAGAGGGCTCCCGAATGGGTAGAATGGTCCTGTAGCCTAACCTTACCTTTGGGAACAGCCTAGTTAAGTGGCCAGGAAAGGCAAATCACAAACCTGTCAATTACTAATCGAGTGTGGACTTCTGGTTCTGAATCTTTGCCAACTGGGGTCAGATACCATACTTGACAGGATCATCCAAAACCAAATTGACTTTATGTAAACATGAAGAGAGGTGATGAGATGAAGTGGGCATAAGTTTCCAAGAAAACTTGGAAATAATCACTTGAAAGAAGCTGAAGTAGAAGGGGGAAATGTTTAAAATAGAACGTCTATAAGATATTCTAGTCATATCTTTTCAGCAATTTAAAATCTTTGCCTAGTTTGATCCTCACCACTGTTTGAGGTCAATGATACTGTCCTTGAACTACAGTTCAAAAGATTGAGGCTGAGAGCCTAGCATAAAGTCTAAGATACAGTATGTTCTTAAAAGGTATTTGGTGACTTAGAAAGAATGTGAGTTATCCCTGTTCACACTACTTACAAGAGTGGAACCAGGGGACTGGCAGATGGTGTAATGGTTATATCACTGGATTCCCACATACTTGACTGTGGTTCGAAGTCCCAGACCTGACAGCTTAAAACTCCTGGGCATGTGTGTGTCCATTCCCAAAACTCCAAGAGAATGGAGGAAAAGGGATTTCAAATAGCCCCTGGGGGGTGATTTTTTCGGCTTTCTGTCTTTCCAGTGAGCACAAACATCCCATAGCAAAAATCTCTTTAAAAAGGGAAAAAAAGAGTGGAACCAGAATTTGAACTTGTCATATCTCAGCAGTTCTAGGATTCACTTAATTACGGTTGAAAAATTTAGGGCGTATCAGGTATGTAGCTAGATTCCCACATGGCCAACCACTGTTCCAGTCTCAGACCTGGTGGCATGCTTTCTCACTTAGCCTCTCTCTTTCTCGATGTCTCTGTCTCTCTCTCTGGTGAGCAGATTTGCCCTTTAGCAAATCAGAAAGTAACAATAATGATAAACAAAATTAACAGATTATTTCCTTTATAACTAACATAGAAACAAACTTACTGAGCTAGCAGATGGCATAGTGGTTACATTGCTGGATTCCCACGCGGCCTACTGCAGTTTGAGTCCCGGACCTGGTGGCTTGAGACACGCCAGGTTTGTGCCTGAGTGCCTAAGATCCCAGGAGGAGAGTGGAGGAGAAGGGATTAGGCATGGCCATCCCCCCCAGGGTGTGATTTCTCACTTTTCCTCTCTCTGGCAAGCACACACGCCCTAAGGCAAAAACCTAAACATAAAAAAAAAAAAAAAGAAAGAAAAATCACACACAGACACACACATTTTTTTTTTCGAGGGATTTTCGCTATAGGGCGCTTGCGCTCACCAGACAGACAGAGAGAGACATAGAGACAGAAAGCGAGAAATCACCCCCCAGGGGGGATGGTCACGCCACAATCCCTTCTCCTCCATTCTCCTCTCGGGATCTTGGGCACGCATGCACACGTGCCTGGTGTGAGTTTTAAGCCACCGGGTCCAGGACATGAACCGCGGTCGACTATGTGGGAGTCTAGCGACATAGCCATTACGCTAACTGCTGGTTCCCACAGACACACACATTTGAAAAATTAAGGTTGGGGCCAGCAGGTTAAAGTAGGTAGATTTCACATGGCCAACAAAGCAGTCTGGATCCCAGGCCCCAGAGTTTGAAAAACATACCAGGCATGTATGCATGCATACCCAAACTCTAGAATGGAGGGAAAGATGGAGAAGAGGTTGTGACACTGGATTATCCCCCATGTAAATGCCTTCTCACTTTCCTTTTTCCTCCTCCCATCTAACACACACACCCTCTGGAAAATTAAAAAGAAAAAATTACCTTGCTGTTTTATCACTAGAGGCTAGGCCTACAGGAATTAAGAGGGAAAATGAATGGGAAATGAAGAGAAAATCTTCAAAGGAAATAATAAAGTAGTTGAAAAGATAACATGAATATAATGAGAAAGATGAGAATCTTATTGAAAATTCCACAAAGCTCAAGCTAGACAATAAAGTATTCATTTTTTAGTTGCCATCTCTATTCCAACCAGTGATGTAAGGGAAATTGGCCTCATTTCTCAATTGCAGAAGGAAATGTTTTTATTAGATTTTTGATGAATTAGACAAATGGAATGTTTGGGAAGGGGAAGTTAAAATAAGAAATAGGAAATGGAAACTAAAAGAAAGATGATAGTAAGCCAGCCAGGTGGCATGATGGTTAAGGCAGCTGGATTCCACGTGACCAACTGCATGTTTCAATACCTAGACTCAGTGGCTTAAAAACAAGCCAGGTCCATATGCATGTATGCCCAAAATCCTGACATAGAAGGGACTGTGGTGTGACCATACCATACCCCGGGGTGGGGGGTGGGGGTGATTTCTCACTTTCTCTTGCTCTCACTGTTTCTGGCAAACTCATATGCTCTATAGCAAAATTCTAAAAAGAAAAAAAAAAGATACTGAAATCTGCCACGTCAGGGAGATTAGCGAGGAGGAAAAAACGTCATTTTTACAAAAAGTTAAAATGAAACTATTAAGTTCATTGAGAAGGTAAAAGTGAATATTTGTAGAACATTTTCTAAATGAGAATGTGAATTTCATGAATAGCTAATCTCTTCTCATTTTTTAGTCTTTGGAGGATTGTCCTCTGGATGAAGATGAAGATGCATTTCAGGGCCTCGGAGAAGAGGATGAGGAAATTGATCAATTCAATGATGATACATTTGGGTCAGGTGCAGTTGGTAAGTGACATCTTTCTAATATCATCTTGGTTCCTTGCTCTTTTCAAGTGCTATCTTTTGTAAGTATTCTGTTTTAGCAGGATTGACTCATTTAGTAATTTGGTAAGACATTTTTTAGTGTTGATTTCAGTCAGAGTAGTTCAGTTTTCACTGAAATCATCTACCTTGCTCCGATGGCCCTGTTTTGCCTCACCTATAAAACCAGGTGTAAAACCTGGTAGTGTGATGGTGAAGGCAGCTGGATCACACATAGCCATCTGCAGTTTGAGTCCCAGACCTGGCAGCTTGAACACACTAGGCCCATGTGCAGGTGTGCCCAAAATCCTGAAAGTCAGGAGAATGAAGGAGAGGGGATGACAGTTTGGCCATCCCCCTTGGGGCATGCTTTCTCACTTTCTCCCTCTCTGATCCTATCTTTCTCTGGCAAGTGCATGTATCTTTCACCAAATTTAAATAAATGAAACAAACCCAGTATTCTGTAAGCCTTGTCTTCCAGGTATATGCTTGATGACTCTAAGTTGCCACTATAAGGAATTAAACTGTTTCGGGAAGCAGACATTTAAAAGAAGCTTAAAATAATCCTTGGTGAGGGGAATTTTTATTTCTAGAGTGTATATAAGGAGTCTTCTGGGAAATTTCTGGTAAAATGCTTACTAAGAAAAAACTACGCATGAGATTTCAATTTTGTTTGTACCCATATAAACTCATTCATTAATTTCACTTTTCCATTAGCTTTTCGAGGTCCCCTTGTAACTTAAGGAACACTAATAGATTAGTAGAAAATTCAAATTCTAGTATGTGAGTACAGGAATTTTAAAATTAGTCCATCACTATTTTATTGCCTAATCATGCAGTTGTCTTACAGTATCTTCAATTAGATAAAAAGCTTTTTGTACCAAGAATTTTGGTGATAAAAAGTCTTTGTAAACTAGAAAAGTGTTGTGCATACATGGAATCTTTTTCTATCCCTGGATACAGATAAATATTCTGAGTCAGAAAAACTTTTAAAAAGTTAAAAAGCTAAACTAAACTTATAGATTGTACAGTTAAAATACTGAGATGGAAAATTTAGGAAGCAAACTTACATGATAAAGTTTGGGAATAAACTTTATGACAATATTAGAACCAGTGGGCTAGTAAGTTAGCATTTAAATGGTGCTTCTGGGGGAAAAAACAGTGATAAGAAGAAATTCAGTGGTAGTTGGTAATCCCAATATTTAAGTGTCAAAGACAATAAAAGTGTTATAATGGTTATAGGTTTTGTAGTGATCTAAGCAGCTTAGATTTAATGAAGCTTAGACTGAATTGAATGAACTGGCAAAAATTGAAGTTTTTTATTGTCAGTTATTTACACAATTCGTTACAGAACTAAAACTTTGTCACAATTGAGAGCAGCAAAAGGAATGTTGAAAGTAGAAGCTAGACTCATTATGGAAGAGAATCAGACCTTCTGAATTATAGCTATAGTTTAGGAAATGATATTGTACAGAATGATGTGATCTGAGAGGCTCTTGTTTCTCTGCATGGAAATGACAGGGAAGGGACACAGAATAGAGTTACAAAGGCAAGGAACTGATAAGAATTACAAATTACATTTGGAAGATAGTTGAGTAATAACCCATAGAATACCATAGAAGCTATAAGCATCATGTGCTTCTTTCAAGAACCTTTTTCTACTAAAATACTGAATGTTATCATTTTTTAACAAATTCCCCAGTATTAGAATGCATTTAATGAAACTGGATTCTAGATATTATATTAAGATGAGGCAGCCCAGTCTGTAGCCTCCCAGTTGAAGTGACTGGATCCCGCAGGCTGACTACACAGTTGGTGTCTCAGACCCAGCGACTTGGAAAAGCGTGCCAGGTTTGTGTGCATGCATACACCAACAAAACAAACTGTGAAGGAGGAGAGACAGAGGTGAAGGGATAGCAACAAGACCAATCCTCATCAGAGGGTGCTTTCTTTCTTTCCTTCTCGCTCTCCCTTTCTCTTCCAGTGAGTGCGTGTACCTACTGGCAAATTAAAAACAACAAAAAAAGAAGAGGTAGCTTATCATGTCCTGCATTTCGAACCAAGACATAGCGGAATAAAGGCGTTACTTTCTCATCATCTTGCAGAGAGCTATGAATAGTCTTTTTTTTTTTTTCCCCTTGAGTTTCTATTTTTCCTCACAAGATGGAATAATAGTGCCTTAAAACTGGACCAGCAGATAGGGGAATGGTTACATTGCTAAACTCCCACATGGCCAACCGTGGTTCTAGTCCTGGACTCAGCAGCTTGAAACTCACACTGGGTGCATGTGTGTGTGCCCAAAATCCCGAGAGGAGGATGAAGGAGAAGGGATTGAGGTGTGGCCATCCTCCCAGGGGGTGATTTCTTGCTGTTTTTCTCTGTCTCTCCAGTGACTGCATGCATCCTATAGCAAAAATCTCTCTCAAGAAAAATAAAAATGATTCCTTAAAGCAATGTTGGAGTATGCGGAAGTGTGTTTTATGTGATGGGAAAGAAGAAAAACTACACATGTTAAGAAAGCCCTTAGGAGGGTAAAAGAATAAGTAATAAAAAGTAGGCCCAACCCCAGTGGCACACAGATAGCATCACCCCTTGGTACTCTGTAAGCTGCATGGGAGGTTCAGTTCCATGCCAACCTGAACATGCTGCACACATTTGTGTGCATGTAATTCTAGCTAATTAGGAGGCTGGGGCAGGTCAGAAGGATTGCAGTGCAGTCAGACCCTGTCAAAAATACCTACCTCTGCTTCTCTTTCTTTTTCTCTTTTTCATAAACAACAAAAAAAACAAGGCAGTGATGGGCCAGCAGGTGGCATGGTGGTTAATATGCTGGATCTCGCATGACTGACTCCACAGTTTTCCACAGTTCAAGTCCTGGAACCAGTGACTTGAAAAACACATTGGGTATGTGTGCGTGTGTGCCCAAAGTCCCTAGAGGGGAATGGAGGAAAAGAAATTACAGAATGGCCATCTTCCGGGGGTGGGGGGTGATTTCTCTGTTTCTTCTCTTACTACTATTTTTTAACCATGAATCACATTCTACCACAAGAGGAATTTTATTGATTAATTTATTCCTTCACAAAAAAGACCAACTATAATTAAATGAGGTGAACATTCACCTCAAGATTTTGTCGTCTTCAAAATAAAACAAAAGCTGAAACTTAGAACTGGATCACTTGATCCTTTCTCTTATCTCCTCCCAGTTCAAAATGCTTACATCTCTTAATAGCCAGCACTCTCTTAGATTACAGTTGGGCTCAACACGTTGAAGCCTCAGCACAGTCTTTGTAGTTTTTGCCTTTTTCTGGAAAACAGGCTTAGTCTATCCACCATAGCCACTCTGCTTCCTGTCATAGCGCCACTTTCCCTGAGCATACAGAGAATCCCTGCCCTTTTTGTGCTATGTCACTTTATGAGGTTGGTGCTTGCCACACTTCTTACAGAAAGTCTGGTGGGTTTTAGGGACGTTCACCATGTTTCCAGCTCTCTGTGTCTCTTTTTGCCTCTCTTCGGCAAACACATATGCCCTGTGGCAAAAAAAAAAAAAAAAAAAAAAAATCTAAGAAAGAAAGGCAGTGAAATAGCATGGTGCTATATTGCTCTTTGTACTGTAGGGCAGAGGGTAATTAATAAGGACTTCTAGATCCACAAAGTTTATAGTGGAGAAAAGATTGCCAGAAGATTGCCCTTTCCATTGAGGGTGTAGTATACAAAGGGTCTTCAGAAAGTTCGTAGAAAATGCATATTATGAAAAAAAAGTGCATGGGTTTGAAAAAGATTTGTGTGTTTTAGATTTTAGCCATAGGACCTGTACACTCACTGGAGAGAGAGAGATAAAAAGAAAGTGAGAGGTTCCCCGGCATGTTTTTCAAGCAACTAAGTCTAAGACTTAAACCAGAGTCAGCTACATGGAATCCAATGCCTTAACCATCATCCCACTTGCTGGCCCCATAAATAATTTAATTGCCCGAGGGTATGTTCACTAACCAGGGAGAAATAGAAACAGAGAGAGAAAAAAAAAACAAGGCACTCCTCAGTGGGGCATGGTCACACAATCCCTTTATTTCTTCTTCCTTTCAGTATTTTGGGTATGCATATATGGTGTTCTTAACATGTTCTTCAAGCTGCCAGGGCTGGGATTTGAACTGCTGTCATATGGGATCATTTTTCCTTAACCACTAGGCATGGAACTAGCCCTCAATAGTTTTCATACCAAAATGAACTTGTCCTTTCATACTTGAATTTTATAGGGAATATCTTAATTCTTTATCACATCTTGTTATAAATGCCATAAAAAGAAAATTGCTTCTAAGCTCAACCTGTGATTGGTTTGGTATACCTCTGTTGGTAGGTATACAGTGGGTATAGAGAATTGAAACCAGGAGTTGACATTGACCTTTGACTTGTTTTGAGGTGATTTGTTGTTGTTTAGGTTTTTGCCAGAGGGTTTGTGTGTTCACCATAGAGAGACAGAGAAAGGTGGAAAGTGAGAAATCACCCTCCAGGTGGGATAGCCACACCTCAGCCTCTGCTCTTTCATTCTTTTCTTGAGATTTTGTGTACCCACATACCCATGCCTGGCATGAGTTTCAAGCTATCTGGTCCAGGCCTTGAATCATGGACAGCCATGTAGGAATTTAGCACCTTCACTGCGCCACCTGCTGGCCCCCAATGTGGCTTTTTTCTTTTTTTCTGGGATTTTTTGTTATAAGGCATGTGCACTCTCCAGAGAGAGAGAAAAAGTGAGAAATCATTTTCCAAGGGGGATGGCCATGCCACAGTCCCTTCCCCTCCATTCTCCTCTCGGGACTTTTGGGCATGCTTATACACGTGTCTGGCGTGATTTTCAAGCAGCCAGGTTTAAGACTCGAGCCTCTGTCAGCCATGTGGGATGGAAGTCCAGCACCTTAACTGCCACACCACTTGCTGGCCCTTTGGTGTGATTTTTTAACGACATGGGTTTCTTGATAACATCTGTTAGTACA